GGAAAAACCAAGTTAATCAGTTTGAGATGGAGGTAATAACATTCCAGGCGCATGTTGAGTGAATACAGATATCTCGGAGAACAGTTCACAGTTACGTGTTGTGCTTTAGTGCACTAAAGCTCACAGGTGAAAGCGAGCTGCTTTCAGCGGAGTATTTTTGTCATCAGTGTGCTTCTATATTCTGTCCACTAGGGGTACTGAGACATTTTGAAAGGTAATCAAGTGTACACATTTAAAAGAAGTTTTAAAGATAGATTCTTGGATCCGTATTTCTGCCTAGAAGTGTGTGCATCTGAATTTGGGAAGGTAGGGGGAAGGGCTTTTAGCGCTTATCTGGGGCAACCTAATGTCTTCTACTGATCTAAAGAACAGGTAAAGAATCCTAAGGATGTGACTGATACCTTTGTAAATTTTGAAAGGGCTGTTTCATGGGGGAAGGAGGTAGGGGATTGTACTGATCTTTAGTTTCCAGAATGCACGTAAAGGGGTGGGGGGGAAGAAAAAAGCACTAACGCTAAATTTTATAGATGAACCAGAACAAAGGCCTTACAGAGCTGCAGGCTCACCTCACTGAAGAAAGATTCTCTTCTTAATGAAGCAAATTAACATGCCATGTACGAAATCTCTTTTCCTATGACAAAATGTGGCTGCATATGCAAATGGTCCTGTACCTATACCACTGTGCTTGCCTAGGAAGGGCAATTAAGAAAAGCTTTCCTTAGAAAGGCAAGCTAGGTCAGACTTCTGTACTTTCAATGGCAGTCCTGAAAGTATGGCTCTTGAGCAAGAAAGTAACGTGAATGTACAAATGCTTTCCAGCTTTCATCTCTGTTTTGCAGGCTCTATTGTGAAGAAGAAAAAGATCCTAAGCGTCGTTCATGTCAGACTGTGCTAGCAGAGGCTTTAGACATAGTGGTCCGATCCTTTGCACCAATTCTTCCTCACTTGGCAGAGGAGGTTTTCCAGCACCTTCCTTACAAGAAAGGTAAAGCACGTATAATTTCTAAGGAATTCTTTTAGTGCACTGTTTAATTGCACAGTTAAAAGGAATGCAAATACAGAGATAGGCCATTCTTTTTTATTCATTTAATAAACACTTTAATGGAAAGACACTAAACTAAAAATTCCTTTGTTTGCTTTGCTTTCAAGACTCAGAGGGTGTGTTTCGTACTGGCTGGATTAGTGCAAGTTCAGCGTGGAAGAAGCCTGGCATTGAGGAAGCAATAGAAGGTGCATGTGCAATGAGAGACTCTTTCCTTGGGTCCATTTCTGGCAAGAATGCTTTGGAATATGAAGTCATCATTGTAATTGAGCCTGGATTGCTGTTTGAATTAATGGAGGTAAAAGATGCAACTAAGAATAGGGTTGTCGGTGCAAAAAAATACTAATTTCTGTAAACTTTCTTCTGTGTTGTACTTGCCAGAAAATCACAGAATAGTTGAGGTTGGAAGGGACTGCTGGAGATTGTATAGCCCACACCCCTTACTCAGGCAGGTAGCCCAGGATTGTGTCCAGTTGGGTTTTGAATACTTCTGAGGATGGAGACTCCACAACCTCTCCAGGCTACCTGTGCCAGGGTTTGACCACCCTCACAGTAAAAAAGTGGTTTTGTGGGGTTTTTTTTTTTTTAATTTCCTCTCTCAATTTCTGCCTGCTGCCTCTCATCCTGTCACTGGGCACCACTGAAAGCGCCTGGCTCCATCTTCTTTGCACCCTCCCATGAGGTATTTATATACCTTAGTAAGATCTCCCTGAGCCTGCTCTTCTCTGGGCTAAGCAGTCCCAACTGTCAGCCTCTCTTCACACATGAGATGCTCCAGTCCTTCATCTTTACAGCCCTTTGCTGGACTCACACTGTAAGTTCACATCTCTCTTTTACTGGGGAGCTCAGAACTGGACCCAGCACTGCAGATGTCTCTCACCAGGGCCGAGTAGTGAGGAAGGATCACCTCCTTCAACCTGCAGCGCAGCACCCTTCTGCAGGATGTGTGAGAGCATATTGCTGGCTCACGGTCAGCTGCTTGGCCACCAGGGCCCCTTCTCTGCTTTCCAGCCAGTTGGCCCTCAACATCTACTGGTGCCTGCGGTTATTCCTCCCCAGGGGCAGGGCTGGGCATTTCCCTTTGTTGAACTTCATGAGGTTGCTGCTAGCCCGTTTCTCCATCCTGTTGAAGTCCCTCTGAACGACAGCACAGCCATCTGGAGTATCAGCCACTCCTCCAAGCACTGTATCCTCAGCAGAATTGCTAAGGGTATGCTCTGCCCCATCATCCAGGTTATTAGTTAGTGTGTTAAACAGTACTGGACCCCACACTGACCCCAGAGCTACACTACTAGTGACTGGCCTCTAGCTCTGAACTCCTTGAAAACACGTGTTCTAGTGCCTCTCGCAGTGCTCTTCTGAAGTCATCTGCCTTTGTGATGTGAGGGTCAAAGTAACTTGAAAATTTCTGCAGAGGGAACCGTGGACACTGCAGTTCAAGTCTGTACTCCTACTCCTGGCCGGAGTAAGTAAATTAGACTCTTGGTTCAAATCATCCACTCTGACTAGGAACCACTGTCTTGGCATTTGTTTTAAAAAATGGAGCATCTTAGAGCTTGCAGTGGTAGACCTCAGTTTTGATGCTGGATTTAAACATAATTATATATATACGCATATATTTAAACACACAGAGGCACGTGTGTGCGTGTATGTAAACAAACCTGTGCTCTCTTCATGACAAGGCTATGACAGCTGTTGCAATCACATACATGGTAATTCCACTTTTGCTTTAACATTTTCTAGGAGGATGGTGAGGAACAAAAACAGGTTGCAAGTCTGAAAATTAACTCTCTTCCCTAGGCACTGCAGGCTGAAGAAACTTCTAGTGTTTCACAGCTGAATGAAATAATGATGGCTTCCCAGACAACGCTGCTGACTGAGCTACCTAAAGAAACACCTGCAGATGCAAACATCATCAGAGGCACCTTTCTGATTAACTTGGAAGGTAAGAGAAGTATTCCAGACAGGCTACTGTGCTGAGCAGCTGGTCCTTTCCTGCACAGCATATTTTGTTGTTCACATGTAGAGTTGAGTATGCTAACTACACCTGCACTTTCTTTAACAGGTGGTGATATCCGTGAAGAATCTTCATATAAAGTTATAGCCCTACCAATTACCAAAGCAAAATGCCCTCGCTGCAGGAGATACACTTCCAATTCCTCAAGCACTCCCTGCCCACGGTGCCTGAAAGTTATTGCTGGAAAAGGGAGCACGTGAAGATGAAATGCCTGCTCCACAGTCATGAGTATTGAAGTGTACAAAAGTGGTGGCTAACCAGAAGGTCTGTGTACCGAAGCCTGTAGAACCAGATACTTAAGCCCCAGCCTGAGCAGAATTATCATGTGTTTTGGGGGGAACCTTATGTATATACCTAATTGTGTATATCACTTTTCAGCTTAATAAAAAGGGTGGTTTAAAATAACTGACCGATTTACTTAGTTTTAGCAACCTGTGTTCTTTTGAAGTTCACTTCCATTTAAGTGAAACTGCACAGTAAAACAGCTATTGTTTAATTTTTATACTGTCAGCAGGTAGTTCTGCAGAACCCTGAGAACCAGTCCTCTCTACAGTGGAGTGTCTACTCCTCATGTAAACCAGAACAGAAGAAGAAAAGGTGGTGACCACCATTCCCTAGAAAGAAGGAAAAACCACAATGAAACCTCAAATTTTATTTAATCAATTTACACAAATCCACAGCAAATTAGACACAAAATAGCACTATATACAGAGTATTACTTACAATACATTACAGATTTGATTGGTGTAGTGTGTCAGCTCTGACATGATACTTGGTTACAGTAAAATCCTTTACGCAGCTGTACCAGGATACAGGAATGTAATGCAACTAAGAAACATACTTGCTTTTCCTCAGGTTCCATGATGACCAAATCTCTAGCATACTTACTTCTGCAGAAGTTTGAAGTGCTGTCAGGCAAGGTGGTAAAGTCACCTGTACAATCTTGCCTTCTTCTGTTTTTCCCCTATAGCTGTTTTAACCTCAGTTATGGAAGTCAGTATAGAAGTACCTAAACCATAGATCAGGGCTGGCCACTTACTCTTACTAGAATTTTACTGTTCTTCACTCTGTCTGGTCTCATACCACTGTAGGAAGTCAAACATGTAGTATCGAAGCTTTTCAAGAAGCCTTCATCAGCTACATTAAAGTGCAGTGATTAGGAACTGGTGATGCTGAACAGGGGAAGGAGGCTGTGTAGAACAAGCCACCTACAGAACCTTTTTTTCAGGGGGAGTCTAACCCTTAGATGACATCAGCATGTACTTCAGAAAGGTAAGACCAAATCCTGTCTCCAGGAAGGCAGTATACTTTGAATGTTTCTTACATGTAATGCAAGAAGAACAGGTTACAAGATGGAGTTAGTAATTTCAGCTGACTTCAAGACAAGAACAGTTCACACCAATTTCATTTTTCTCTCCTGGCTTCCTTCAGGTAGAAAGTAAACAGTATTAACTGATGCAAGATAATAATGTTTAATACCACTCCAATAGTGAAGATACTCACTATATGATTCCCTGTAAGTACCATAAATAAAAGTGTCTTTCTTTAAGGCTAAAGTACTCAGTACTATAGATCTTCAGTGAAGTTGGGTCAACTAAAAGCAGGTTTTGACTACAAGTTAACATGTGCAGAGATTTATAGCATACTACATCTTCTACAGTGATAAGATGGGGGAACAATCTTACAGTAAGACATTCCTTGACCTACTTAAACTCAGTGGAGCTTAATAATAAAGGAGAGGGATGTAAATCCAGTTTTAGCTGAAGCCCAGCACCCTAGAGACAACACTGGGCGATCTGGACTGAAAGATGAGTCTGTATTTGTGTCTGGAGAATTGGATTCTCCTTCCCAAGCTGTTTCTAATGTGGGCTGTTCTCCCTTTGCATAAGGCCCCAGCACGTTTCATCCTATGTCTAGTGCAGTCATCATTGTCACGCATAATGCAGTTACAAGGCATGAGCCCAACACCAGCTCTAGCTTCTGAAAAAGCAGTATCGGCTTTACATGGTAACTTCAGAGTTTTTCTCGGGTGTAATTCCACAGCTTGTTTTGAAAAACAAATCATACATGGAACATTGAAACTGCAGCAGTTACTGCCAGCATGAAATACAGAATTTCACAAGATGTGATTTTGTAAATAGACTAAAACTGCTGTCAAATATATCCAATTTAGACTACCGCAAAAAACGCTCAAGTCAGAAATAAATAACAAAGCATTTCAGATACTGACAAGTGTACTAGAAACTAAACATCTTTGTACTAGTGCAGAATTTAAAATATACTCCAATTTAAAATTGCCTTCTGAAGTTCTGGGATGGGGAGCGTTGTTCTTTTCATCATTTAACAAGAGCCACACAAAAGTTTCTTTCTGCAAAGTTCAGCCTCATTGCGTAAGATCATGCATTATACCACTATATAGCAGAACTGTGCTAACCAAGAATGTCATAAGATGGCTTCTACAGCCTCTATCAGGTTCAAGGCAAGGCTATACTGCCCATGATTCTCCGGTAAGTGCTCTATGACTTTGTTCACTAGTTTAGCTGTCGTTGCAATTGGCACTTCCAAATTTTGAAGTTCCTGGGGGTCCTATATAAAAGAATAAACACAGCATTAGAATAATTTTACAGATGATCATCTGCATATAAGCCCTCCTGAACTTGTATAAAACAGATTACTAAGATTTATTAACTCAATTAAGCTGATGCTTTGACCCATGAAACTGCTTTACCCTTCGTGAAACAGAACCAGCACCAGGAAAAATGAGAACAAATTCTTGTTCCCATTAGCAGATGTAATCTCTGTCTTGGTGAACAGAAGTTTCTGAAAATCAACCTGTTTTCCTAAACTTGAGCTTAACTTACCATAGCTTTGAGCCAAGTACATAGTGTTGGAGGAAGCCTAGCGAGGAGTTCCATACCCTCCTTTGTCTGCGTATGAAGTAAAGCGAAGGCCAGTCTCTGTCCAGCCAGTATGAGCAGCTGTGATGCAAGCACTTCTTTGTCAGTCACCTGAAGAAAGGCCTGAAAAATAGAACAATATAAGGAACTAGAAACCATTTCAGCATGACACAGCTCCCTTATCTGGAAGCTTGGAAAGCCGTATCAAAAGAAGCTTCTCAATACTAAAAGGACAAATAGTTTTGAGACTGTTTCTTGTGTTACCTGTTACTGTAATAAAGCATGTTATTAAAAGCTTCAGAACAGCAGAAGAGTGAACAAAGGCAGAGAATTACTCTGTACTTTACACAGTGATTAGCATGAACACGAGATCCGTTTTACAGTTCAGCAACATATTGCTAACTTCCATATAATCTCGTTTGCTTTTCCCCTCAAGAAAGGGAAGGATTTTTTTGTCCAAGGACTGGTAAACCTCTCCTAAAAGAAGAGATTACAGGCAAAAAAGCAGATTCCTGAAACTATCAAATATAGCAAAATAAAAAAGGCTGTACTGGTTTAGACCAGTAGTATAACTCCCTATCATGTTTCCACACAGATTCTTATTGGGAAGAAGGAAAAATGAGGGTAATTATTGGTCTTGGAAAAGTACTTTTCCAGCCTGGGGATTTTTTGAGCCTGATAATACTTGCCTAACCCTTCCAGGCATCTTGAGTAAGTGAAAAAGTAATTTTAGCAGAATATCTGACATAATGCTGTGTTGATTTAAAATTATTAAAAGCTGTTATTACCTCTTCACCAAGATGATCCATCCCGTAACTATACAGTTCACAGACATAATGCCTTTTGACCACATCCTCAGAGATTTGAAGATACTGAGCCAGGTCCACAGCCAAAGTTGGCCAATTCTTCCCCTTTTCAAAAGGAAACAATTCCTCTTCTGAGACTTCTTTGGCCTTTTGTGATGAGCATAGTGTTTGAACCGCTGCACTCACAACTTTGACCAAGAACTTGGAAGAAAAAATTGCAGGTTACTTCAGTATTTGAAATTTTAGAAGTTTAAGAACTTTCAGCACAAAACTTATACCTACCTGTTGTCGTATGGATAACACATTTGGATCCATATCCCCACTAGGTAGCAGCTGAATTGAAGTAAGGTCTTTGAAAAATGCATTTTTGCCCTAAAATTGAGAACCAAAGACAGGCCTCAGAGATACAGGGGAATACAAGTAATCCATTTTGATCCAATACTAAGAAGCCTACTTTTTTTCACATTTAATTTGTCCTGCATCTTCTATTTCTCTTTGAGAACAAAAATTAGTATTGTAAGTTAAAGCCACAGAACAAAACAAACTTTTGTTCATGCAATCATAATATGTCAAGGATTTGCTTTCAAACTTAAAACTACCTGCCTACTAAATTAGGTACCTGATACATCACCAGCTGGAGCTGCAGTTTGGATATATTTCCTGGTCCCTGGCTCTAGACCAACATACCAAGCATAATATGTAGGAAGAAATGCAAACTAGCTGATAGAAAAATACATTTTATCTATTACCCATTGATATACTTGACACCGCTTAATTTTAAGGTCTCTTGAACTACAGATTAATCAAATTTCAGGTAAACCCCTGAACGATGGCTCATGGTAGCCCTTGTTTCAGCCTACCATGCTCCAGCAGTGACATACTCGATGCCAAGCATCTCTGGCAGTCCTGCCCTGTATTTTTAGGGAAACTGGTACAAAAAAATGCCTATGTTAAAAGACAGTGATGAATGTGTAGGTCTAGATAGTGACTTGCCTTGTCAGAAATAAGCTAATAAATGGTCTTCGAAACTTTTAACCACTTTTTCAGTCATCAGCCAAGATTCTCTAAAGACCTGTTAGAAATTCTCTCATAAAGCTCACAGAACAAATGGAAATCTTGAATGAGTGAAGGCAAAAAGGCAGCAGCTGAGAATAATAGTTTTATATAAAAGAAAGGAGGCACAGGAACAGGATCTAATTTTACTCTTGAGACATAATATGTGTTCTTAAATGTCAAAAGGTAGTATAATGCTTTCTGCTAACAGATAAGCAAAAAAAAAAAAAAAAGGCATAAAAACAATGGAATTTGATCTATGGTAAAATGCTAAAACCAGACCCAACTGCTTGCACACAGACAAGACCCTATGGCAAAAGGAGAGTAGTATTCTGCATTTATAAAATTCCAGTAAATCATTAAGAAGAAATCTGCGCAGTATTACAGGACTAAATAATTTTCTCC